TATGGAGAATCAGTACAGTTCTTCCCTGCCACCCTGCACATGACTCCTCATCAGCCACATTTAGAAGCAGGCAATTAAACCCTTCTCTTTTTTTTTTTGGATTTGGGGCAGAGAATAAATTGTAGCCAGTACTCTTTTCTGCAAACTGCACCTTTCTGCAGACTCTCCTATTCAAGATCTTCCAGGTTCTGACATACAAAACCCTTGGGTGAAATTGAGCCTTAAATTGGAAAATAGATGTTCTATATATTTATTTATAAATTAATATATACAACATAGTTTTCTAGTAATCTATTGTTATAACTCACTTCTTTTCCGTCCCTTTCCCTGTTATAAGTCACAGTCCTTATTCAGTGACTGGAATCATATTATTTGCTGAGTTAGAGCCAGACTGAGACTGTAAAATCAGCCCTGTGCACAAGGCAAGTAGCTAGGTCACTCCAGGAGAAACATAAGTCCTTCCCTGCCCCCACCTGCAAGTAACTTGCTGCAGCCCACTGCTGTTCACTACAGTGAAGGAAGGGGTTTAGTCCCAAATGCACCCTTGAATGTGAAACAGTAATATGCTGCATGATAAGTTGGCGCTCCTATTCAAAATGCAGACCTGCTGTAAGCAGCCAGTATCATTTTAAGGGTAGATTTCCTTCCAGCCCTGACACTGTTCACAGCCATCATTTTAATCTCTGCAGTAGACCCCTAGCTGTCCTTGAATTTTGGTGACTCCCACTGGCACCTAAGCAACTGGGATGACGAATTCCCTGAGTATCAATGTCAGTTTTAGTAGTATTGCAAAATCATTCTAATCATCGCATGCATTTCAAATCACAGAGCAGGAAAGAGACACCCTGCCTTGAGACAGGATGATCTGTGGGTTCGGCCGCTTGCTAGTTCTGCCTTTGTGCCTACTTATACAGCAACAATTTCTATTATTACTGTATTTTCTATACTCAGCAAAAAATGAAAATAAGAATTGTCAGTCACCTCATGTTTTTCCCCTATTTATTTGCCACAGGGTGGGGGTTGGGGGGGACACGGTCAGTATAAGAGCCAGCACATAGTTCCCGCACTCCTAGGGAAGGAATTATGACTCAAGGATTGCAGTGGGGACCTGCCCCCTGGGAACTGGATTGAAGCTATAGGGCTCATTTCACGTAGGCCACTCAACAGCATTGTCAATGCTCACAATTATATTACCATTATATTTCTATAATCACCAGAGTGCCTGGAAATCACCTAAGTATATGACACCTGTCTTTCAACAAAAAAATAAAAATCTTTTTGGCTGCAAGGAAAAGCTTGAAAATATGACCCTTAATGGTTCAAATAATCCAGAAGTTGTTTGTTTTTTAAGGTCTCATGAGCCATATTTTGGGAGGCCCTTACAATTTTTAATGCATGGGTTAGCAATAACATACTAATATAATAGTAAGTTAATAACTAGTAACTGTTGTTCATTGCTAGAGTTGTTAAAGAATTTTCTGTCACTGTCTTTTCAACAGAAAATGCAGTTTTGGACCATTCAAAATTTTCCACTCAAAAAATTAATTTAGCACAATTTTTTCAGCATGGCTTACAGGCTGGACTCCATCTCCCCTCAGGCACCATTCTCTTTGCTCTGGCCCAAGCACCCTTGTGCATCAGGGAGCCCAGGGTCAAGGCAATAGGGCCATTAAAGCATCCAAACTGCACATCCCAGGAGGTACTGTAACAGGCCAAGCAGGCACAGCTCTACATCCAGCCAACCTCAGACAAAACAGCGAAACATTTCCCAAAGCTTTTCAGAACTTCCTATCCCATAAATTTGCCATTTCACCCCAGTTCAGGATGAAAATGAATGCTGAAATGCCAGAATTTCTCATAAGAAAGAAATTATTCCAGTGCGAGTCACTACTGACCTGGACTTGATTTAAACTTGTGAAATTAGAGTTACTTTTTAATTGGTATCAGTGGATTTGCATCATATTTGCTTCTAAGTCCTAATATAGAGTTTCTGGAAAGAAATATTAAGCCTGAGTCTTGTTTATGAAATTGCATTAGCTCAAAGTTGTTTGTGGATGAGAAAAGGAGGAAAGAAATATATTATCCATCCTAAGGTGGGCTGCTTTACCTCCAGAGTGATTTGTTTCACTGCAGTGGTATTCATCATGTTGATAAAATAGGCCAGAGGTCTGAAAATTGGAAGATTTTTCCTGTTAATTTGAAACAGCACCTATACATGCTGCTGTGACATCAACATAATACCCTAAAGCCATGGCATCTGAAAAGATTTATTTTCTGAGGCCTTATGCAGCTACATTCTCTTTGCTTCTGACAGTCTCAATTTGTAGGCTTCCGGTGATCCAATCTTATTCATTCTGGCTCCATAATAAGGATGTCAATGCAAGAGGAGAAAAGTCATTATCTGATAGCTAGCAGACAAGATAAAAAAGGCAGAGTTAGCTATCTCAGAGGATGGGCCACCCTTTTTGCCTTGGATGAGCTTCTCAAGGTCACTGGTAGCTTTTGTACCAGTAAGCATGCTCCAAATTCACCTAAAGCTATTTATATTGAGTGCATCTGATAAACCTGAAATGCCCCTAATACTGGCAGCCGCTTGTTCTGAATGAGATATTGATTTGCTGCCTACTACTTGGTTGCAAAATTTTAATTACAATTAGAACATATAAAGAGAGAGATGGACTAACAAGGTGGTGTTTAAAGTATGGAGAAAGTTAATTTTAGTTGAGAGGTCATTCCACTTCAGGCTGTGGTTTGAGTTTGGACTGCACAAACCCAAGTTATATTGGCTTATATAAATTCTCCTCAAAAGTGCAGAAATTTGATGATATCAACTACTTCTTTGAACAAAACATATTCTCCAAATATATACATAGGGAATGAATCAAGTAGAAGGCGTGCCCCATTCAATATCTCCATTTTTATCTACCAAAACTGAAAAGCATCCTGCTACAATTGTAGCCTGGTATGGTACATATAGGTGGATGAATACATAGGGTGGGATTTTCAAAGGTGATGTCTAAGGGAGCCGGAGATGTAAATACAATTGAATATCGACTGGGGCTGGGTGCATGGCACCCTTAAATTTCTCTTTGGTAATAGACTTTTTAGGGGCATTCACCATGCTTCTACTGGTTTCTGTTGTTCTACTTCAGTGTCAATAATGTAATAATATTCATTTCTTTTCTGCTGATCATAATTATTGACAAACATAAGACACGTACACTTCAGTTCTGTATTAAAATCAGATGGATTTGTTTGAAAGGAACCAATGGACAACCTGCAGGACTCTTATTCTAGGAACCAAAATGCATTCAGGAGCAGAGATTACGACAAAGATTTTCTGTTTGAACCTGTTCTTTCCTTCTTACTTCTCTGATATTCCCCTCCCCTCTTGTGTCATAAAGAACTGATCAGTGATCAGAGTGAATGGTGACTGGTTCATTAATGACAGCCTAGTCAAAGGCTGTGCTCAGCTGTTATATATTAGGGCTGTGCGAAGCTTCAGCCGCTGATTCAGTTAGTGGAGATTAGGCCCATTTTGGCAGCCGAATCTCCGAATCGAATCAGGAGACCCTTTAAACTCTCCAAATGGAATCAGAACCCTCCAAATTGATTCAGAGAGATTTGATGATTCAGACATAGACACAGCTTTATATGTTTTTTCTACATACCTCAAGGTACCAGGCACCTCGTGATGCTGAGATGCTGGGGCTGATGAAGCATCCCACGGGAGCGCCGGGGGGGGGTCCTGAGCGTGCTCGACGATAGACCCGGAAGTGGACCAGAAGTACTTCCAGCCACTTCTGGGTCCGCTACAGAGCATGCAGGGGACCCCCACTCCCCCCCCCGGCTTGGCAGCTGGTGCCTCCTGGGTCCCCCTGTGGCCAATTGCCAGGTTGGGGGAGTGTAGGGGCTGTTCCCCTGAGCACTTGGCAGCAGACCCAGAAGTGGACCAGAAGTACTTCAGGGCCACTTCTGGGGCTGCTGCCAAGTGTGCAGGGGACCCCCCCCCCCCCCCCCCCGCTTCCTGTGGGATGCTCCATTTGCCCCACCATCTCAGTGTTCATGAGCTGCACCTGGTACCTCAAGGTATGTAGAAAAAACATTTAAAGCTGTGTCTAAGGCCAAATCACTGATTCTCCAAATCAGCATCAAATCTTCCGATTCAGATTCAGCTAAATCGAATTGAGACAGTGATCCAAATCAACGAATCAAATCACTGTCCCCTGATTCGGGCCAAATCCAAATCAAATAGAGCCTGTTTTGCACACCCCTATTGTGTATTGTCTTCTGCTCTGAAATTGTGCTGATCTCTCATAACTTATTAACTCTATTGTCTAATACTGCTTACCACAAACGGCCTGATCTTATATTCTTTATGAGGAATAAAACAATAAAATAAAATCAGTAGTAATTTTGTACGTGAAAAATTTTCAGCTCTGGATTCACATAATGCTCTAGATATGAGCTGTGAATGCATAGGCTTCATATGTACGATCATATGTTTTATCTCCTTTTTGCAAATGAGACAAACCATCAAGTTGAACACTTCACTGCACTGCCTTTTGCCTGCCAATCCCTGCTTCTGTGTGGGATGAGTAGCAAGCATGCAATACATCTAGAACCCAAATGACAGCAGTACAGAACCTCCCAGTGAGCATATTTGAAGCTAGTTTATATCCCCAAATTTATAGCAGGATGATGAACAGCAGCTAGTGGTACCAGAGATGCCAGCAAGCCCAATGCAGCCTGTAACAAAGGTCAGATGATGGGTCTCATCCCTATGTTACGGCAGGCATATATGGCCCTAAGACAGTTTTGGAGCAAGATTCTGCATCTATAGATATAACCTTATTTACATATTAGGTACCCTAAGGCACCAGTTATCTATCTTGTTTCTGTTAGGATTATATAGTTTTGCTGCATGATGTTCCCATAGCTGAGTTGGCATTCAGTTGGTAGTTCTTAACGTTTGATTTGTATTTTTATTTTTCCTGCAGGAGAACTTCATTTTATAACAGTGCTACTCACACCACCGACTACTTTTGTCCCCAGGAGTAACGGTCCCCAACCTTAATGGTTTAGTTGATTGCTCCAGATAACATTCCAGTGCTACACGGATGTAGGAAAGCACCTCCCATCAATCACCCCTAACACCACTCACTGCCCTAACAAGACCTTTTCTTCAATATTACCCCAACCAGTCAATGAGAATTGTTACCACCCCCTGCAATCTTTGTTCAAGGGTTCCAAATCCCGTTGGCCTCCCATTCTCACTGCCTTATACATGTTGTCAGCACAACCATTTTATAATCTTATGTGATCAAGCTCATTCATGAGACAGACTTGTAGCAGGCAGTACAGGTCCCTTCCAGCCCTACTCTATGATTTTATGATCCAAGCAAAAAACAACACAGCCATAACACACACACTGGCCACTAATTTCAGAAAGACAAAAAATAAAGATCTCAATAAAAATGAAAGATTCTCTCTGCTTTATGAATATGAAGGTCATGGCAGCCCTTTTATATCAGACCACTGACAGGCAGAGCTGCTTGGACATTTTCAGACAGAATCAGAAAATGCAGATTCAAAAAGTTTTGCAGAAACACTGATTTCAACCAATTTTCCAAGAGAACATGGTTGAAGACAAAGCTCTTACAGGCTCTCTTATAGGAACAATCCCATCCTACTCCCAAGTTTTAAAATGCTTTCCTTCAATTTGGAATCTGAAAGTTTAAAAAAAAACATTAATCTACTTCATAAATTCCCAACATTTGGGGGGCAGGTTGGGGCATTTTTTTAAATGGGCCCCACTGCTAGAAGACTGCAGTCTAGATCTCCACTCAGTCAGTCACTCCTAGATTGAAAGAAAAGGCCCAAACAGTCCAGTACCAACTATAGGCTTGACTTAAGTCTAAAGTTGCTCCACATTTGTAGTGATGTAACTAAGACAAGGCTACGACTCATGGACTTTCCTAGACAAGTAATACTTTGATATGTGTGATAGGCAAGGTCCATCTCTTGTTATGGTCCAAGGTATAGTGCCTTTGAAGCCAACAGATCTCGCTTTCCAAAACCTCATCCAGATGGGGCAGTTTCATACAATTTGATAAATCATATTACTTCACTTGCTCTGGTGACACTTAGTACACAGCCAGCTCCTGTGATCTGAAGGATTTTTGTAATGCACACACCATACTCTTTGTGTGGATTCAGGCATGGCAGCTACGGAATAGACATTATGGTAACAGTCTGCTTGCAGCAGCTAGAGGTTTATTTCACAGTACAGCAGAGTACAGAATCCACTGGCCATTTTTGACCAAACAAAATTATTGCTGAACAGGAGCTGCTCACAAGGCAAGATCAACACAGTCTTCATCAGTTCCACTAATTTGTCTTATCTCTGTGGCTCAGTGGGATCTATCGACTCCTTCTTACCATCTGTCAATCTTCTCTCCTTGATTAAAAGGCTGCATATTCAGCAGAACCTGAAAGTGCATCTCATCATTCTTCAGTAAATTAATCTACATTTATTTCAGCTAGGGAAAATAAGGATCTCAAAATATACTTCAAATTGCTTAGATACATGATGCACCTGATTGTGTTAATTTAAAAATGCCTACTTATAAAGTATGCACAATACACCACTGTCATGGACTAAGCCCCCTGCACCCATATTCTCAGTCCTAGAATATTTTTTGTTTGTTTCACAAATGTAAAGCTCCTGGGAAGTGCTGGATTGACAGCTGCAGAGAACATCCACTAAATGTATTCAACACAGTGCCAGTGCGCCGTTGCCTTGCCAAAATGCTTCAGCTCTGACAGAGGAAGTTGCTTCTATCCTCATTCCCTCTGTGATTCCTAACAAATGCACAAAGGCATGAGGCTTTGTATACCATGACCAGCCCACTCCTCCAACATGCAGGCACTTTGGCATCAATTACCATTTTTCAATGTAGCAAACAATAACCATTTTCCCCCTCACCATCCCCTCAAATGCAGGGATCAACATTTTTCTTTGTTTCAGAGTGAGATTTTCAGAGCAAGTTAAGGGATGTGGAGGTCACTTAAGATCCAACCTTAGGGCTGCCCACATCCACTAAGATACTTTATGCCCAAACTCCTATTTCATTAAAATGGGAATTCAGATGCCAAAATACTCTTGTGAATCTGACCTTAGCTTATCTTCTATGGTTATAGATGACAAAGAAAAACACCATCAATTATTAAAAAGAACACAGTCATCTGGCACAAATTCACAATGCACAGACTATGAAAGCTGACGTGCTTTCAGAAGCATATTTCTTTAGGGGAAAAGGGAGGGGGCGACTTACATTTATAAAATGGGCCTCAGTGCTACCCCAGCAACAACACAAGCTGCAAAGCTGGAAAAGGATGAAGGCCAGTTATTAGCTCTTAATAAAGGGCTATATTTTATGAGGCTCCAGCCTCACAGGGAACGAAAGGCATTGTCCAGGATGTCAAAGACACTGGGTACCATACAGGAGTAGACCCACAGGCTAGGGACAGGTATTACACACAAACTGGTTTAAGTGACCAGAAATTGGTTTAAACCTGTAACAGAGCAGGCATTCTGTGCACACAAACCAGTTTGAAAATGGCTGAA